TCAACATCCCTACCTCTCAGCATTGTCATGGAGATTTAGTGAGATGGTGCCCACAAAGTGCCTTGTAATAGTGTTGTTAGTAATTGTGATAATAATGATGGTGGTGATAGTGGTAGTGATGGTCATGATGTGGTGATGGTAGTAGTGGTGGTAGCAGTGGGAACTGTGACAATAATGATGGTGGTGGCAATGATGGTAAGGGCTGTTGTCATGGTGATGGTAGTGATGGTGGTGGTGGTGGTGGTGGTGGTCATAACGGAGGTAATAGTGGGGGGGTGATGGCAGTGATAATAGTGTTGTTGGTGGTGACCATGATGGTGAAGGTTGTGGTGATGGTGATGGTGGTGGTGGTGGCAGCAGTGGTGACGGTGTTGTTGATGGTGATGGTGGTGGTAGTGATGGTAGCATTGATGGTGATAGTGGCAGTGGTGGTGTTGACAGTGATGGTTATGGTGATGGTGATGATGGTGCTAACAGTATTGATGGTGGAGGCTGGCGGCAGTAGTGGATGTAACAGTAGTTATGTAACCTCTGCATTTTTTCAGCAATGAAGTGCTGTTTTGTCAGCAATAGACCTGTTTCTTGTCATTTTTTTCCTTCTCTTGAAAATTGCTACCCAGCATAGTACCTGGACAAGTGTTGGTTATTCATCATGAGGGCAGATTTTTCAAGCCATTCTGAATGCCAGGATGCTGAGCAGAACTGGTATTTCCAAGGTTGCCTGTCTGCCCATGGAGAAGAGGGAAGCTTACAAATTCAGAACAGCAATTCCTTCCCAGCCAGGATGAGTTAACACAGCCATCTGAGGGGCCATTAACAGATAAAAGGATTGCTTGTGCAACTGATTCTAATATGTGCCGTATGGTCTTTTGCTCAGTTCCTGTTCTCCAAGCCTCCAGACGTCAAACATGATTATTTTCTACTGGTTAGAGCTGAAACCAGGTGCGCAGGGAAAACCTAGGGTGTCCTGACATAAACTCTGGCTCCATGCCATAAAATGAATCAAACAGTAGCCTACGATTCAAATGTTGTTACCATCTGGTAGAGCAGGAAAAGGTAGAAAAAAAGACTTTAAAAAGGAGAAAGTAGAACAAATTCAACCTAGGCTACCACTGAAAAAAGGCAGCCATGCTTCTTTCCTCAAATGTACTAGTAATCAGAAAGTCTGATCACTGTCAGCAATAATGAGACCCTCAACTCCAAGGGAAAATCAGAGATTAAGGTAATATGTTCCCAATGCATTATACATGACAGGCATGGTTGGTTATTAAGGGTCCTAGATCTATCCAAGACATCCACAGCAAGGACAGCTAACTTCCACTTGAGAATTCTGATGTGCACATGTCACACACCCCATACAAAATCAAAGATAGTAAAGAATTTTGATCCAGGCAGACTTAAGTGCTGATTCCTATCCCACCACCTACAACCTGACTGACACTCAGTGATTTAATTTATGCCTTTAAGTCTTAGATATCTCATTAGTATAATGGAATTAAAACGGCCATACCTCACAGGATCCTTAGGAGAATTAAGTGAGAAGCATGAGTGTAAACAATCACCTAGAGAATTACCTGCTGTGAAATTATTGTTTAATCAATGTTGCTTTCTTTCTATAACTCTTAGTTCTATACCAGAAAAGAGAGATTCCGTTTTAAACATGTGTTCTTAAAGCAACAGACACAGGCATGGACACCGTGATATGTATGGGGAGCACCACCATCTTGGATAAGAAGGGGCAATATGCTGGATAGCATCACTTCTTCAGTTCTCATCTTTGGTAAGAGAAAGACAAGAAACCAGAAGGTGCTGAGAAAATGGCCAATGGGACCAAGGGGATTGACATCAGCTTGTGGGAAGAACAAAGACAAATATCTGAGTGGCCTTGTGAAGGTAATTTTGCCTCTCTACCCATTGAATTTTTCACTGTGGGTCTCAAGGATCCCTTCCAACATGATGACTTTTCAGTTCATTCTAGATTTTACATTAAGCTGAAATTCCTCACAACATTGATTTTTTTTTTTAATTATTTTTCATTTTTATCCAGAGAAGAAGAAACAAGATACCTAGGTATTTCAGCCAGGACTCAGTACCACAGAGCAAGGCAAAGGCATGAGAAGGAACAATGTTCTCTTCTTTAAGATGAGACAGCTCCTGTCAAAAGTCAGAACCCAGGCAACCAGACACCCAGTTCTGGATCTTGTTCTCCTCACCTCACACAGCTGTGTTTTCTACCCAGAAAGCCCAAGTCATGTGTGATGTATTCACTCTTGTGCCCTAATAGTTTGAGATGTTTATTAATGCTATATGCTTATTTTATATGCTTATTCATATTATGTTTCTATATATGCTATGTACATATAAAACATCTATAACTTACAGGTGTAAGATACTCTTCTAAGTACCAAAGATAAAGAAATAAGAAAAATCTTTGCTCTCACAGTCTTATATTCTAGTGGAGAAAATAAACAGATAAACAAAAAACAAATTCTCAAATAAGAAAAACGTCAGATAAGTCTTCTGCAAAAAAAAGAGTGACAGTGGCAGCTATTTTGAGGAGGTTGATTAGAACATGACACTTATTTTGTAAAAACGAGAAGCTTTGGAAGGTTCAAGTGCTGCAGTGGCCTTCAGGTAGGCTGGATCTCCCATCAGAACATTCAGAATTCAGATGCAACTGCAGCATCTCTCACTTCAGCTAGGTGACAGTGCTCCCTAATCAACCTCCTTCATGCCTAGCTCAGATAACCAGGAGGAAATTGAAGCCTTGGGAAGAGAAATGCAGTCTTTTCCTACCTCCCCATCAGATGGGGTGTCTCCATAGCCCTGCAGGAGGGTGTGGAGCATGCTTAGCTCCCAATTCTCTCTTTTCACCATGTCATTGTGGAAAAATACCAGCTTTGTTCAAAATGGATGCAATTACTTTGCTGGAGATTATAATGTCTGCTTGCTGCTAATCTCTAAAATAAAAGGCCTGGATTCCTTTGCCCAACCCATGTTTAGTGTCTGCTTCTCCATGCACAGGTTCCTGCGTGTTGTCAGCCTCATGTCCCTTCCCTTTATACAACTTGAGCATGCGCAGTGGCGCTCGGGAGCTCTTCTGAGTGATGTTTCAATTGAAGTTGATGAGGAGGAAATGACAGGTCACAGCAAGGGAAGGAGAGATATCATTTTTTTGAATAAGTCACTCTGCCTCGGGTTTCCTGACTCAGCTAGAGAATAACTGAACAGGAAGCTGCTTCCAAGCCCACAACATTACAAGTTGTTTCTATTCTCTCCCCGGCCTCTCAATCCAGGTATAGGCACTGAACTAGCGATATCTGTAGAACAGAACACAGCCTGAATCAGGAAATCACCAGTGATGATCAGAGAACCATGGGTCCCCCAAGAACCACTTGCTCATCATCCTCAATTCAATGGAGGAAGCAGAACAAAAGGGGAGCCCCTCCTCTGTGTACCCACTATACCCTCTGCTAATTATATCATCACCCTGCCTTGTAACTCTTGGCTCATTCTCTTCTGCTAGATGCTTGGACTTCTTGGCCTTTTAGGGCATGACTTCTGCCTTTTTCTCAGTATTCCCACTGCCTGTCATATAATGTGAACAAGGATGCGTGCCCAGAAGCCCATGCCCCACCCAACCCTGGCCCTTTCTCATCAGATCATGCTGCAAGTTTCCTAACTGGTCTCCTTCCTGTAGTCTGTTCTCAACACAGAAGATACAGGTGTGTGTTTAGCATGTCATCTGGGCCCTGGCACAGCCGTCTTCAAGTTTGGTCATCTTTATATAAGCAGTTCCACAGTGAACCTTTCCCCATTTCACCTAGCCTTTGAAATAAGTTCCTTATAGAATCTTGAGGATTCAAGATGGTTATAGGAGGCAGAGTTCTTTGAAAACCAGAGATAGAAGTTGGTTGGTAGATGAAGATAGGTTGGAGTCTGTGTTGAGTGATAAGGGCAGTTCACTCCATTTTAGAACTGAGGGTATGAAGTGTGGTGGGTGTGGGGAGTCCCTTAGCTACAATCAACCCACAGCAAAATAGGTGGCACCTTCCACCCCATCAAGTACAGAGTCTTCAGGTTAGAAGAGGCTATAAATGGGACCAGGGCTGCCTCTGCCAGACCCCAGATCCCCACTTCCACCCATCTGTCAGTGGTCACCTGGCCTCTAAATGAAAACCTCTAGGGCAGTAAACTCACTAGTCCCAGAAACTGCTTATTCCATCTTTGGATGACTGTCAACCTTGGATAGTTCTCTGTGTGAACTAATAAATGATGGGACAAGCTTAAGGGTCACAGTTCAACAAACGTATGTTGACTCGCCACTGTGTGCCAGGAACCTTGGTGGGAACTGAGGACACAGAGTTGAGTCGGGGTTTCAGTCCAGTTTGCTGTGGAGGCATCTAACCCAAGTGTGCTTCTACCTTCCTCCCGCTCCAAACATTGTGTCAGGAGCTGTGATCATTGGTGAACTGCATCCAAGAGTTGCATACAATTTAGATAAGAATATAACACTCAATTAGATTAATTAAATGGAATACCGTGATGTGTAATATTCAATAATGATATGAATATATAAGAAGCAGATCTCTATCCTTTCACCCCTATTTTCTCTCACTCTTTTCTTAAGATTTAGCTCAAACATTACCTCCTACAGGAAGCCCTGGCTGCCTCCCAGACTGGGTCAAGTTGCCCCCTTTCTGTGTTCCTTTGGCACTGAGCTTCCCTCCTCCAGGGTACTGATCACACAGGGGTGTCATGTCTCTCTATACATGACTCCTGGCAGACAACAGATTCATCTCCATGTCTCCAGGGCCCAACTCAAGGCAGAGCCCATATAGGAATTTCACCATGTTAGATGAACTGAATCCACCCTTCATTCTACTTTCAATAAACATTTAAAGTCCCTGAAACTGGCATCCTCTCCTCTGCATGACCTTATATAACAGGGACCAGTGTGGGTGAGCTGAAGCCTCAGAAACAACAGACGGTTTACTTACTCGGACACCTTGCAAACCAGGAGGTCCACTCTTGCCTTCGGGGCCTATTAGACCCTTTAAGAGGGAGAGAAAGGGGAAAAAGAAAGAAAGAAGGACATAATGGTAAATTCAGAGTTCAACAACATGCTTTGGCATCTCACTCTCATTGGATAGAATAATAACCATTTCATTCCAATGGGGGAAAGGGGACGTCAGGAGGGAAATAACATCACATTCTCTCAAATCTATAATGCTTTAAAACATGTACCACTATCTGTTCTAATTAAGTATGTTTAACAGTTAAGATGTAGGCAACATCTTTCACATTTTGCACATAAATACAGAAAGGATCAAATAGCTTGCATTAGTGGTTTGCATAAATCACACAAAAAAGAAATGTCTGGAACTCAAGTGTCTTTAATTCTAAGCCCAGTGCCCTTTACCTTCTAGCTTGCTGTTTCAGGAAGGAAAAAGCAAAACAAAACAAAACAAAAAACTGGCTTGAGTTAACAGATTCTTAAGCAAAAATGATGTGAGGGGAGACTCCTAAAAGACAAAATCTATATTTTAAAATTGTGGATTTATTCTTACATGTTTAAACTTTAGTCACCTTCAAAGTACTCCCTGTTTGATGCAATACACCCATGGAGATGCTTTTCCACTGCTCAAAACAGCTTTTGAACCCATTCATTTTGATGCCTTTTAGTGCTTCTGCCATTTTTTGTTTCACCTCTCCCATGTTGAAAAAATGTTTCCCTTTGAGGACTTTTTTCTTCCGGGGAAACAAACAAAAAATATTGCTTGGGGGGAGATCAGGTGAATAAGGAGGCTGGGGTACAAAGGTCATGCCTATTTTGGTCAAAAACTGCTGAACATCGGGGCAGTGTGATCAGGTATGCTCCTAAATCACCCATAAAGAAATGACAAACGGTTGAAAGAATCTTCAAAAAAAAAATTCACTGAAGTCGAACACAGTCTTTCAAAACAATGCTAGCTAGTAACTGATACTGATGGGTTCCTAGGACATGTACTTAGCAGGGGATGCCTGTACTACAAAGGGCCCACTCTCCAAAAAATAATTCTGGATTTTTGGGGGGCCCTCCTTGTATGCAAAACATAATAACCTAAAATTAAATGAAATTGTCGAGGAAAGATCAATTTCAATTAAACAAGAAACACGGGTACAGGGAGAGGCCATAATGACCTAATTCAAATCCTGCCACCCTCCCACCCCAACCTTGCCTGGTATCAACTGCATAATTGCAGACAGGTCACTTGGCATTGTTCAATCTCAGTTATATCATGTCTGAAGGAGGGATAATACATTCACCTACTGAGCAGTTGTGAGGACCATATGAAGAATGGGTACTAAAGCTGTGACACAGTACCTGGGCCTCCTGACAGCACCCTGATTTATACCATAGAAATGAGGCATGGAATGTGAGTGGGAAACTGAAACTCTTGACTTTTTCACTGTGATTCTATCGCTACTTCTGGGTGAATTTTTGGCCAGAAATGCCCTGTCTGCACTTTAATTTCCCCATCTTCGATAAATATTATTATCATGCTAATCACTACTGTTGTCAGATTTTACGTAATTATAAGTGATCAAGCTGCATTTAGATTCCAAGGTCTTTTAAGAATGCCATGCAAATGAATACATAAATGGACAAACTCCGTGATTAAAGGGGGTGAATCTCTCTTCATCACAAGGAACTCAGGACACATAGTGAGAAAAGTCCCTGCAAACTGTGACTTTTCTTTCAGAGTCAAGAAACCCCTGGCATTGATCTGCACAGCTAGCCATTCAGTGGCTCTATCAGACACTGGTAAAACTACCAGAGACTATTTCATCTTGAGGAAAAGATGAAAGATGCCAGCATTTGGATGCAGAAAGCTGAACACTGTTTCCATTTAGAGAATGGAATACGTTTTCCTCTCTCTGGGATTGCTGAACACAAACTCAAAATTTTCCATTCTCAACAAAAGTCACTGAAGCCAGCTTCTCAATTCGATTCAATCCAATGAATATTTAGAAAGCAACTGCTCTGCAGAAGGCTCTGAGCTAAGTGTTGCTGAGGATTCAAAAAAAAGAAATGACAATTGACATCAGCGCTGGGCTTAAGAAGGCTTCAGAGAGCACTGCATCAGACATCAGTCTGTTTAACATCATGGCGTGTTTACTAGGAGATGATGAAGAAGATGATGAGGGTGAGGATGATTTCCAAGTTAGAGGTGAATCAAATGAAGATCAAAAAATTAAGTAGTATTGCCAAAGACACAAAACTACATAGTGGAACAACTGGGACATGAAACCAGATATTCTGATTTCTAATCCCAAGGGCCTCCAGTGACCCTATTGCTCTTTCTAACTTTACACTGCAGTCAGGTTCTACTTTAATGTCCCTCTTAAATACCAATTGTGGGGCCATTCCTCTACATGTATGTGTTCAGTTCCCACCATGTGATAAACCCTGTGGATTTAGAGATGGGAGAGGTGTTGGTCCTGGCCTTAAGAATGTTATAGTCTTGGACTTCTTATTACTGTTCCCCTTTTAACAATGCCTTTGGCTAGGCTGTTTGTTTTTTGAACTATATCCAAGGGGATCTTACCACCAACACCATGGTCTGTATTAAATTCAATTCTATCAGGCACATCTAACTTAGACAACATCTTCAGAACCATGGACAACCCTGTTGAATAGCAAGGTTGAAATATTCTGTTGTTTGAATGTAGGGAGGTTCAAGACCTTGCCCATGTCCTATATAAAGGACCACAGAAATTATACACGTGGGGAATTTCCATTTGCCATCTAGAAACTGCAATCATTCACTTGCAATTACTTCCTTTGCTACATATCTTCTTCATTAGACTATGAGATTGGTTTGTGTATTATTTCATTGCTACATCTTCAGCCTTAATGTTTTGCTTGACATAAAGTAGGTAGTCACACATGTTTGAGGTTTCTTCCTTCTCTCCCTCCCTCATTTATCATAACAAATCTGTATAAAGGGTGATGACTACCAACTCCATATGCTCATCTAGGAAGAGGCCAAGAAGGCTGCCTCATGACTAATCAAGGCTAGGCATCTTTAGTTTCTTATTCCTTAGTGGGAGCCATTAAGTCAAGTAATCCCTTTTTACATTTCTCAGAGGGAGTACTGTGCACTCAGTGGTGAAAAGAGGACTGGCTACACAGTCAGATCTGGGTTCAGGATCACTTTTGCTTAATAGTTGTATGGCTTTGTGCAAGCTACTCAATGTTTCTGCACCAACACCTTCATTAAAAAATATGAAAAATAACACTTTCAATTTTGCAGACTTAATCTGTACATGAAAATACACTACAGTATAGACATTCAATACTTGCCAATCATGGATCTGAAATATACACGTGTATATGCATATATACAGAAAAGGATATGCATCTCATATGCATGAGAACATACTGCATTTCCTGCATTATCTAGTTTAAATCTCTAACAGTTAAATCTCTTTAAAGTTATAATAATAGTGGACAACTCTGGAAACTGAGCCTTGGAGAGATTATACAGACAGAAGTTAGCTTTTCTGATCCAAAATTTTTGACATAGAATTGTTCTAATTATACTGGAATTAAACATTCCTTAAGTTTCTTCCAGTTTTACCATAGCAAAACCATATAAATTTATCCTAATAAGGAGAAGGGGTGTCAATAGCTTCATACGAATCTAATTAATTAACATTTATAAATAGAAGTTATTTTATTTCCTTCAAAATATAGTATCTTGAAAGAAGCCGCAGCATGTTTAGCCAGAAGAAAAAACTTTAAAGCAGGAGCCCCTGTGGATTTAATCGTATTCTTATTAATTATCCTTAATATCTGAATTCACATCACAAAATGATCACAGGGGCCCTTTGAATGGCCTCTTCCCAAATGGTTATTTACACATCATTAAATTCTTAACAGAGGGAGAAACCAAAGACTGGAGTGTTCCAGGCCCCTGCAAAGTCAGAATCAACCAGAAACATGGTAGAAGTGGGTATGCTTTGCAAGTTATTCAGTTGGCATTTATGTGTCCAACGTTTTTATTCTATTTTATCTGAAAGAAAACAAAACCATGTGATAGAGCTCCCAGAAATCTCTATCACGGCCTTTGGGCCTGGGGCTCTGAAGGCAGGGTGTCTGGGCTTCAACTTCAGTTCTCTACACTTTGTAACTACATGGTCTGCGACCAGTCATCTCATCTAACTACATGGTCTGTGACCAGCATCTTCAAAGCTTAGTTTCTCCTTTGTGAGATACTGATCACAACAGCACCAACCACTCAGGGGTTGTAAAGGTGTTTGAGATAACACAACACTCAGCACTAAGCATGACTTTTATCTTCCAGGCCTAAAGGTGTGCAGAGCAACCCCTGAGCTGGGGAAGGGTGACTTACCGGGGCTCCTGGCAGCCCAGGTGGACCCTGGTAACCTCTCGGTCCTGGTGCCCCCTGGTAACATGAACCAAACATGTGTTAGCTATGAATCCCCCCATATGACCAGGTCACCACCACCCATGGCCCTTTCTAGACTCAGAGTTTACTTCCCAAGTTCCCAACAGGGACCCAGAGCTATGGGTGTGAACGTTTGAATTTCTAGCAGAAAGCCAACTTCAGTTTCTGAAAGGCTGCATCTGAGCACAACCCCATAGTTATGGCTGTAGCCTTCTTCTGCTGCTGTACCCACAATGGGAGGATCCATTTGCCCCTTACCTGCTCTCCCTTCAGGCCCTCTCTCTGCACCTGAGAGACAAAACAGGCATTAGCAAAAGTGTTGACATTTCCTCAACAACAGTCAACCTCTCTCAGCTACATGAAAGGCATTCATTCACATGGCATGTTGTCATGCAGCGGTTCTTGGCTTTCTCAGATTTTTATCCCATTTTTAGTGTTGAAAGTCTTCTATTCATGTGTGTCATTAGTCGGGCTCCAACAACAACCCAGTTAAACTAGTTGGTGACCTACCACAGAGCCTGGTATCCCAGGAGGTCCTGCAGGTCCCACGTCACCCTGTGCAGAAAAGAACATTTCAAAATATTTACTTGGTGTCACCTTCTTCTGGTACTCCCCTGACTCCGCCCGTGGGGCTCTAGCAAGGCCAGAGATCACATCCTTCTCTGTACCCCATCGCACTCATCTTAATCCTGCCTGGGCTTTCTCCCTTCTTGTAAAAGTCTCAAAGTTTCTGTGATTCTTATCTCTGCAAAAAGATCACAGGTTTTTAAGGGCAAGAGCCTTCTTTTCTCTTTTGTGCACATCCAGCCCAGTGCCTAGATCTCATGGTCATTCCATGAACACCTCATGGTCTTTCATAACCATCTGATGTCTGAGAGCAGATCTTGGTCCACTGTTCAATGAGCACCTCCTTATACCAGGCACTGTGTTAGACACACAGTGAGAGCCTTGGTTTTATTTTTTGGCAGGTCCTTTGTGCCAAGTTCATGGTTCAGCAATCAATAAATATTTTTCAAATAAACAACTTTTAAAAATACTATAGTGATTCCCATTAAGTCATTTTACACAAAAGTCTTGTCTCCTGCCTCCCTCTCCTTGGCCTCTAGGTCACCTGGGCTCTGATGGCTGTGGCTTGGCTGGATTTCCCAGAGTGTGAGCTACATCTTGGCCCTAAATAGGGTATATTTGCTAACTGTGATGACAGAAAAATCTTTAGTGGTATTACTCCGGTGTCCTGTAGTTAAGGCAAGGAGACTACTTATGTCAGTGTCCCCACATAAGTCATGCGGGTGCAACTGTTTCCGTTACCTAAAGCCTAGCTCAGGGAGCATGGGAAACATTCAAAAACCATTCTTGAATGCATTGGCACATGAGTGGATGAGTCACCAAATACCTCTGAAAGCATCTGTTAGATCTTAGGCCTAAGGAGAAGGAGTGAAAGTCTGAGGACACACCTGCCATCCCCCATTCACAGTGGGTCTTTCCAACTCCACTGTCTCCCATTCCTGCCCAAGACTTGGAAAAATCACTTTGCTTTTCATAACATCAAGTGTTTTTCTAGAAATCCCAATTGATCATGTTTTGTAGTGTCAATTTGCCTTAATGCACCTTTCTTTTTTGTTTCTCACATGCAATAATTGAGTCCCGCCCCAGAAACGCTTCTTCATTCTGTTGTATTCACTGTCCCCACACACATGCAGGCACATATTCTCACACATGTGTACAAGAACACACGCTGCATTTTCTTTTCACTAGTCTACAACCTCTCCAGGCATATCCAGAACATGAATGAACGAAAATCTCCATACGTGCAGAACCCAGCCCCGATATCTCGTCTCCATTTCTCCATGAGCATTCTACAATTACTCCAAGAAGAGTTAGGTCTTTCTCCTTACTCCCACAGACTTATTAATATTTTGGTAATATATAAGGGGGAACCCAAAACAAACAGAAATTATTTTTTGGAGGACAGACCCCTTGTAGTACAGGATTATCCTGCCAGGTAAAATGTTCTAGGAACTCACTGGCATCAGCATACCAGCTAGTGGTGCTGTGAGAGACTGCGTTTGGCTTCAGTGAATTTATTTTTGGAGATTCTTTCAACATGTTTGCCCATTTTGCGATGGTTGATTTCTAAGCACACCTGTCCACACCACGATAAGTGTTCAGCAGTTTTTTTAACCAAAAAAAGCATAACCCCCATGCCCCAGTCCTTCCTATTCACCTGATCTCATCCTGAGTGACTCTTTTCGTTTTCCCAGATTTTAAAAAAAAAAAATCCTCAAAGGGAAATATTTTGCCAATGTGGAAGAGATGAAACAAACAAACAAAAATGGCAGAAGTAGTAAAAGGCGTCAAAATTGATGAGTTCAAAAACTGTTCTGAGCAGTGGAAAAAGATCTTGATAGGTGTATTACATCAAACGGGGAGTACTTTGAAGGTGACTAAAGTTTAAACATGTAAGAGTAAATATATAACTTTTTGTAAATAAATTCTGAGTTTTTGTGTCATCCACACAATTGGTAGAAAACATTCTGAACTGTACTATAATTTTTTATTCATGTGGATGTCTTTTAGAGAGAGAGACAGAGAGGAGGCTGAATAATGAATCTTTTGAGGTTTATAATTATGTCAGTCTTCTTTTACTTACACTTTGTGTCACAATTACATTCACTTTTGTTATGTTTATTGTTGTATTTATCATAATTATTACTATAATACCACAAAAAGTGAGTTTTCAAATAGTAGTTACAAAAGCGATTAACATGTTTTAATCACATGCATGTTTTAATCTCTTGCAGCTCGCCATGTAAAACCAAATGTTCTGACATATTAAATTATGAAGGAAAACTAAGATTCTAGTATTCATTCATAACAATTGTACCAAAATAGTCATTGGAGAGTTTCTATCTGTCAGTCCTTTCTCTAAGAACTTGACATGGATGAACTTTTTCCCTATGATACTGTCTTTCCTATCTTAAAGATGAGGCAATCCCAGCACTTTGGGAGGCCAAGGAGAGAGGATTACTTGAGCTTAGGAGTTTGAGGCCAGCCAGGGTAATATAGTAAAATCTTTTCTTTATAAAAATACAAATTAGCTGGGCATAGTGGTGCACACCCAACTACTCAAGAGGCTGAGGTCAGAGAATCTCCTGAGCCCAGGTGACCGAGGTTGCAGTGAGCAGTGATCATGCCACAGTACTCCAGCCTGGGTGACAGAATGAGACCCCTACTCAAACAAAACAAAACAGATGAAAAAACTGAGGTACAGAGATATTTTGTGATTTTTTCAAGATCAGTAATTTAGTAAATAATAGAACCAAAATACTTCCTAGAATCATTTTCTTTCCACTACATGAATGACACATTTTTGTGATGATAAATTTTAGCCACCATGGCAACCAGCTTCCAAGATGGCCCCCAGTAATCCCTGCTTCCTGTATTCACTCCTTGTGCAGTGACTTCCCACAATGTACTTGTTCGTCTATGTGATCAATAGCAACAGCAGAAATGCTGCCATGTGACTTCTAAGATTAGGCTATAAATGATTGGGACTTCCATTTGGGACTCCCTCCCTTCTCCCAGCCTTGGCTTACTCACTGTTCCTCCCAGAAGTAATTTCCATTTTCACAAACAGTGCTATAGGGAAGCCCATGTAAGGAGATAGTAAAGCCTCTGGCCAAAAACCATCAAAAACCAAGCCTGCCAATGACCTTGTGAATGTGCTTGGAAGCAGATTCTCCAGCCTCAGTGGACCCTAGAGATAACTACAACCCACTTGACAGCTTGACTGCAGCCTCAGGGGAGATGCTGAGCCAGAAAAATTCAACCACACTGTTCCAAGATGCTTGCCCTCAGAACTGTGTGAAATCATAAATGATTGTTGTTTCAGACTACTAAGTGATAGGATGATTTATTATACAGCAATAGACAACTAATACAACCATGTACAACTGTTAATGTGGCATAAAATGTATCTTCTGATGCTGAGATCTGCAGTAGATCATTGGAGGGACAGGTAGATAATATGAACCTTAGTCCTTAGTCTATAAGCAAATTCACTGTGGGGACTTGGGCAAGAAATCCTAATTTGGGGGGCCTCTGTCTCTCATTTGTAAGATGAGAGAGTTTAGAAAGATCATTCTATGATTCTGATGACTTTCTCAAATTGTACAGCATCTAAGATTTGTCTCGATGATGCTCTCTCAGAATGAGATGAGATGCATCATATCACCTGAGCTTCACTGGTGTCTTGATTATTCCAATGAAAACCCCTAATTTATGCCATGGTCCTTGATCTTGTCCTCTTACTTGTGCTGCATTCATCGGAATGAGCAATGATAAATTAGCAGTTTCCCAAATACCGGGGGCAAAAGCAAATCTATAAATGAGGTAGAAGGTTGGAATATAAAATACATAGACACACACACCAGTGGCAGCAAAAAATAGAGTCTTCACCCAGATCCAAACTTCAAGGATCATTCCCTCTTAGTGACTTGAAATACACTACTTATTTTAGGATTTAGCATCCCCTGTCAAGGAACTGTAAGAATATATTAAAATCCTGACACCAGGATAATATAACAATGTAAATCTCTACTCTAAAAATACTTCGAAGAAGAGAGAATAATTAACTCAGCTAGAATTGAAGCCCAAGTCAGCGAGTTGAGAAGACACTGAAATTCTCCAATCCCCATTCCTAAACTGAAGTTTTTGTCAGCTCGTACCATTTATTTATTTATAATGAATACCCTGTCTGCTTCCATAAAGAGTCAGAGTAGACTTTTCCTGTATTTTGAACATATGCTGGGAACCAATCTGAGTCAGACAATGACCTTCACCTGAACTTGCAATGAGCCACTCTGAGCAGGAGTGACGCCGTCTTAGTCCAGCTTGATTTCTCCTGTCTCAGCCCTTCTCTTTCCCCAGCAACTCTCCCGTTCATGGCTAATGTCTTCCTAAGGGCCTGTCTAGGGATCCGTAAGAAAAATATGATTTCTTGTACTCAAACACAGGCTGTGTCTCATGGTTCCTCCTACCACAATCCGGAACACAACATCACACCTTCTCTTCTTCCCTCTTCGTTACCTTGGATGTTTATGAAGGTTATTATTTCCACATACATTTTTGCAAGCACTTCACGGTTTGCAAACAATGTTCCATGCAGTTACATCAGTTGAGATGCAGAAGTTCTAAGCAGAAAATTTATTTACTTAAGCCTTGTAGAAGACATTCTAAATAGATGACCAGTATGATGAGATCCAAACATTATTTTGTTTATTAAATACCTATTACATGTTTCAGATTCTTATTTTGATTTCTAGAAATTGTAAAACATAGTAGAAAAGAGAGAAGAGCAAAAAGAGGAAGGGAAAAAAGAGTTTGTATAGGGTTTTCTAAAATTTATTCACAGCCTTCCATAGTCTAAAAAGCTTTTTAATTAGTATAAGATTTTAAAATATTTTAAAGTTACATAAAATAAGATTTTAAAAAATTTTCTTTTTGAGTTGGAGTCTCACTCTGTCACCCAGACTGGAGTGCAGTGGCCACTCCGGGCCACCACAGCCTCGACCTGCTGGGCTCCAGTGATCCTTCCGGCTCAGCCTTCCGAGTAGCCGGAATTACAGGTGCACACTACCACGCCCGGCTAATTTTTTGATTTTATTGTAGAGATGAGGTCTTGCCTACCCAGGCGGGTCTCAAACCCGCGGACTCGGGCAATCCACTCACCTCAGCCTCCCAAAGGTGCGGGATTATAGGCTGAGCCACCGAGTCCGGCTAAAATAAATTTTAACTAGATTTTTTTCCCCTAAATGGAGAAAAAAAAAATTAAGATGGTAAGTAGAAATTTCCTATCACCTGAGTTGCTGGCTTCCATTTCACTACTCTTTGCGTACACACTTTGTTCCCAGAACTCCAACCCAAGCCTTTCTTCCTGGCTCTGATTTGTTCTGGTGGGGACAGTCCCCACACTGCTTGCTCAGAGTGCAGAGCCATCTAGAACCCCAACGCGTGCTCACCTTCTCTCCCTGGGACCCCGCTACACCAGGAGGGCCGGGTCTTCCCTGGAAAAGAAAGAAAATGTGGATTATGATGTGTGCTGGGGATGCAGCAGTGGGGAGTGGGGAGGAGGAGAGGAAAGGCTGCTGAAATTCCAAAGCTGTGACCCGGCTTTTCTTCTGAAGTCAAACCACCCTCAGTTCAGACTTTCTGGACTGCACTTATCACTAGAAAATTCTTCCTCAACTGACCTGGGTTCCACATCTCCACCTTTTCCCTTATGGAGTCTTGCTGGTACTGCAGTGTGAATTATGTGCCAAAGAAAGCAAATAACCTCTTCCTCAGGGATGTGAGAGTCTGGGTAATACTCAGAAGCAAATAACCGAGATCTGCCTTGGACTCAGGGAGGGTCAAGGGCGAGGGTGACGGAGTCAGATGGAAATCCTCGGAGGTGCTGAGGACTGGAGAGTCTCCAAGCTCTAGGGAAGCAGGAAAAAGGCTGCAGGACTCTGGTCAGAATTAGGTAAGCCATGGGTAACCAAGGTCCCAGAGAGCTGGCACAGGGGACGCTGAGGATAAGTCCATCCTGCTCTTCAGTGGCCCTGCACGGAAGCCTTCCATGAGTCACCAGGAGAAGCCTGAGTTTTCAAAGTTCCCGTAGGAGCGGTATGTGAGGAGAGCCACACCACAAGAGTCCTCCTGGCAGGCTCAAGAGAACCGGGAGGCAGCCGAATGACCAATATTCATCCACCGACACAGTGACTTTTTATAGGAATTTATCCCAAAGATATGCTTAGAGATGCACTCTGGATGTATACAAAGCACCCTCACTTCCTCTTTAATAACAAAACTCTGACAGACCTAATGCCCCGTGACAGCAGTGACCCTCATGGTGGCTTCCTTCTGCCCCCTCAGACCCTTGTCTGCTGCCCTCAAACCATGGACATTTTATCTGTTGTCTTTTTGATATTCTCCTGTGAGAAGAGGCCTTTTCTTTCTTGGTCATCACCAAATGGGTATTGCCAGTGACAACAGCCAGGCCTAGGGCAAATATATATATATATATATATATATATATGTTTTGGGGGGGTTTTTTTGAGTTGGAGTCTCACTCTGTCACCCAGGCTGTGCAGTGGCACACTCACAGCCACCACAGGCTTGACCTGCTGGGTTCAGGCGACCCTTCTACCTCAGCCTTCCAAGTAGCTGGAACCACCGATATGCGCCAACACATCTGGTTGATTTTTTTGATTTATTATGGAGATGAGGTCTCACCAAGTTGCCTGGGCTGGTCTCAAACCTGTGAGCTCAGGCAATCCTCTTACCTCGGTCTCTCAAAGTGCTGGGATTATAGGCATGAGCCACCATACCCGGCCAAGAGACAGATGTATGAATAAATTGTGGCACCACAGAATACTAATCAGTCATTTGAGTTATGCCTTTGATGAATATTTAAGAAAATGGTTACATGGTTATAATATAATATTGATGCAAGATACGCGATTCCAGTATGTTCAATGACAAAAAATATAAATCCAGAGATATAATTAACTATCAATTTAATTTATATTAATATAGTATATTAAACTAATATTTATTGTAATTAATATATACTGAACACAATCAATTTATATATTTTAATTATTTTATCTATGCAAATGTATTAATTGACTAATAAATTATACTTTATATTATTATATGTATTTTCCTAATTGTTATTAACATGGGTGTATGACTTTAGCTTTTTAATTTTAACTTTTAACCATTTAAATATTTACATTTAGTTACTTTTGGAATAAATCATACATTTCCATGGTTCATAATTTAAGCGTGCAAAAGTTTTTCCACCCACCCTGTCTGCCAGCTACCTCAAGTCCTTTTCTGAAGACAACCAAGCAACAAAGTTAAGGGGGAAAGTCTGTGTCTATATAAGTCATAGGTACACTTTTCCCCACACAATTACACACTTTCTTTCATGTTCCACTTAACAATGTATCTTACAGGCCATCTATATTAGTACATCAAGAATTGCTTCATAAATTTCTACAGTTTTGTATTATTCCCTGCATCAATGCATCCTGACTTATTCAACTATTTCCTTATTGATGAGCATTTGGGTTGTTTCTAATCTTTTACTCTGTAGACGAGATTATAATGAACACCCCTGTCCACACATCACTTTGAACATGTGAATGTTGTCTGTGGCCTTTATATGAATATGACATGTCATATTACTCCATGTGAAATGAATTTAAAGTGTTCTATTCATTGAGATTCCCCTAGCTCTGGCATTCACAGGGTCAACATGTGGCCACATAGCTGGGGGCCAGTTGTTAAGCCTCCTGCAGCCTCCAGTTGATAAAGAAGGAAGCCCAGGTGTCCAGACCCTACAGAGCTTTGTGTGGGGGTATAGCCAGCCCCACCCTCTGACAAAACTCAGCTTTACAGCACCAGGACCCACCTACCTGCGCTCCTGTCTCCCCAGGCTTCCCAGGGAATCCATCCAGGCCTCGCTCCCCCTGGCAAAAGAAGGAAAATGGAGAAATAAGGAATGACAAGGGCAAGTGCCCACCAGGGAGCAGAACATCCCTATAGTCACTGTCATGAAAAGAAAGGGCTGGCAAAAACCCCAAGGTCCCACTGTACTTAGCTGCACTCTCTACCACACCTCTGAATACAAGAGAGTCAAACACACACACATACACACGCGCGTGCGTGCGCCAGCCCTAGAGAGGATGTGTATTTGGGGGGGGGGGGTCAAGGAATGTAAGTCAAAGGTCAAAGAAACCAGATGCATTTCATTTTTCAAATCTTTGACCAAGAGATGGCCACATGACTTCCATGAGCCACATAATCTCTTCATCTTGTAGATCTTCATGGGGGTACGTGGATGCAATGAATAAGTGGAGTCTGCAATGCAGTTAGTAAAATTGCAGGTGTATTTTTATGGACCATCCATTTACCCAGTAAATGTGTATGAATACTCATGGTATTCCCAGTGCTTGGGATGGATCTAAGAATGAATTGCTGGCCAATAGTAAGCCACCATTGGTGCATCCTTCTGTGTACATTCAGATGGAGCCAGGTTTGGACCTCTTGCTAGCTATGGGATCTTAGGCAAGTCACTTCTCTGAGACTGCCCCACTTGCTACAGGGATAATAATCATTCCTTCCTCAAAAGATGCCTGTGTCTAACTCACATGGTGTGCTCAGCTGGTGTCCTTCTTCTAGGTGGGCCACAAGAAATCAGCTGATAAAGAAGACAGTCATTCCAAAATGCAGGCTTATGCTAATATGAACACTCGCTCACAGGAAACCCCTGCAGCCACGGCTTCCATCTTTGGGTCTCTCAGATGTAGTAACACCTTTCCTGCTTCCCCACACCATGCCTGATGTTCCCTCTGCTGGCTCCTCCACACCCTTCAGAGTTCAGCCTGAATGTCACCTCTTGGCCTGTTTATCTAAATTAGATGTCCTGTACTGCTCTGACATGGTCTCGTTTTCATCTCCCTCATACCCCTTAATTCAATGTGCATTTATTATCCATATCTACCATCCTTCTCACTCACATGAGGACAAGAGCTGTGTTCATTCTTTTCATTTTTGTGACCCCAGTGTCCAGCTCAGAGCCTCCCAGTGTGACCCCCGTTGACATTTCCCAAATGACCTGAAGATTACACATAAAAATTATTTTGAACTCTCCATCTCTTTTCTATAACTTTATTTCAAAGTTGTTATTTCTTTTTCTCTTTCCTGGGTTGGTGTCTCTCTTTCAGGATGTTGTTTTTCTTCAAGCGATTGAAGATTCTTTGGTTTTCTCTTCCTTTCTGTGCTTGTCTTGGGCAGCCTGTCCTTAGAGGTTGACTCTGTTCACTGCAGCCCACCTCTCATGATGGCAGGGTCAGGTGGGGCCTCCTGCAGGTGAGATGCAGTTTCTTTCCTCTTGGTATCGTTGCTCCTGTTCCTGGGGATTGCTGGTTACCTGGGAAATGGTTCTCTCCCTCAATCTGGAAATAAATACTGTTGCTTCCCACTGCCCAGTTCCAGCAAGGGGCAGAGGAGGGATTGCTTGACTCAGCTTCCTCAAGCGCAGGGCTCTAGTTAATCACTGACAACTGCCTTAAGATCTGCCTCACCCCCCCCCAAATTCACTGATTAGAACTCGGGGTATCCCTGTGTCTCTCTTAGATTTGCAGTTTGGCTTGTAGTTTCTCCCTGTCTTGCATCTGTGTAAACTTAACCACAGATGTCTTCTCCCCTTCAGAAATTATTTGACAATTCTAGAACACTGATGTATACGTTTGTATTTTCAAGCACTATTACATATTCGTTCTTTAGGAATGTCTTTTCATCACATGAAATTTGGGGTAGATGGAGAATAGAGTGACCTGAGTTTCATCTCTCTGCCAAGCAATTCCATATGAGTCTCCACATGTCCTCTAAACTCTGAGGCTGACAGGCCCGAAGGCCAATCACAGACAGGGAAACTGAGGCCCAGGGTTATGAAGCCACTGAATCCTGGTGGGGTATGTGAGCACCGGCAAGGTGTTGGTCCTCGTGACCCTTAATCCTTGGTCAATGTCTAGAGCTCCCACAAGGTCTAGCAGACTTGCCCTACCTGGGATCGTCCTGCAGCATCAAGAGTGCTGAGCTGGCAAGGGTCTCAGAGCCTGTGGAGTCTCACCCTCCTGCCTGCAGGTGAGAACACTGGGAAGCTTTGGGGCGTACCTTGTTCAAGGTCACACAGGAACTTAGTGATGGGACCAGGACCAAAATCAAGGTCGCTTGACTTTTAGTCCAGAACCTTCTTCCCTGAAGCAGGCTACCCTGCTAAACATCTCCCTGGAATGTGGCATTTCCAAAGGGCTCAGAGCAAAGCAATGTGTGTTGAATGGGCACTCTTACGAGTTCTACTGAAAGTAGAGGGCTCTGCCTGTTGCCAAGTTCCTGTTTCTTACTTCCTCGCACTTGCAGACCAAGATGCACAGAACCCAGTGCCAAAATATCCCTCAGCCACAACTCAGGACAGCTTCAGGTGCACACAGAGGGTCTGGCTGGATGTGAGAGCAGCAGTCTCCACAGTTAGCACCCACAAGGAGAGCTAGGCGGGACACGGCTGGGGGACTGGCAGATGGGTGGTCATTAGTAAGGAGGTGAGGGGAACGAGAACAAGAGGGTGAATGAAGGAAGGAAATTAGTTGAGGGAGCGGGTGGGGGGAGACAAAGAGGCAGAGACAGAGAAAGCTAGAAAGACAGAGACAGAGTCAGAGACGCAGAGATATAAAAACAAAACAGACAGAGACAGAGTTAGAGATATACAGAGATAGAGAGACAAAACAGAGAGCTAGAGACAGAGAAACAGAATGAAAAACCAGGGAGACGGAGGAGCGACAAAGAAAACAAAGTGACAGGAGAGACAAAGGGAGAGAGAGACAGAAAGAGAATCAAAGAGAGACAGAGACAGGAGACAGAGATGAAGAGAAAAACCGAGAGGAAAAATGAGACCCACAGACAGGGATACCAAGAGACAGAGAGAGAGACAAGACAGAGACAGTCACTGAAACAGAGACAGATAAAGATATAGAGACAGGACAGAGAGAGAGAGAGAGAGATACAGACAGAGACAGGAAGAGAGACAGAAGATGCAGCATACAGAGCAGGGTGTCAAGCTGAAATGCCAAAGTTAGGACACAGGGGAAGCAAAGCAATAGGGTGGGATTCACCTGAGGCTACGCTAGAGTGGCCACGCCCCACCTGAAGGCTCTGCACTCCTGTGTTCTGCTGCTGTGTGGATTTTATTGGGCTTTGCAACCACTGCACAGACCTCACAAGCACAACTTAGAACAAGGTTTGGCTCCTGCATAGACTGAGCTTGAGACCCAGGACTCTGGGGTGGAAAAGGGCATGAGAGGTGGCTAACCGCATGACTTGAACCCAAACCCTGGCTCTCCCTCACTCAAGCTATGTGAACTTGAACCAGTCCCTTAGCAGATCTGCGACTCGGTTTCTCCAACTACAAATAGGGAGCATGCTATGTACCCAATAAAGCTGCTGTGAGAACCAAATGAGTCAATCTAGAGCAATGCCTGGCATGGGAAGGTATATACTAAAAGCTGGTAGCTACTATAACTCCCTCTCTGGAGTTTCACTCCCCCACTGGGTGGAGATGATGAAGCATAGGAAAAGAAAAGAAAAACGACTGTATTACAAGGACCCTATGGTGCCTGATTCTCACATCCTTTAATTGATAGGGAGTGTGTACTTACGCAAATTAAAGGGGACTCAATCTTTGTTCTTCTGAGAACCAGGTGGTGAGACAGACACTATCTATTTAACATTTACAACAAATCCTATGATGGGTTGTTACCACTAGCAGTAAGGAAAACAGTCGCAGAGACAAAGTGCATTCTCCTGTCTCAAATCTGACTGCAAAGCCATTAAAGGCTCCCCCATAACAAGTCCACTTGACGCAGTTCTGAACATCTGACAGTTGAGGGAGCTCTCACTCCACTTAAAGCAGAAAAACACACACTTGGCCCACCCATTCTTGACAATTCTGAAATCTTGATGTTGATACACACATTCAATGTGGGAAAGAGACATGTGGTGTGCTTCTTCCCCTTCTTCCCCGCATACAATTAAAAAAAAAAAACTGAAATTGGTGGAATAGCTACCTATCACTGGAACTGAATTTAAGTCTTTCCCCCAGAAATCAGCTGCCGCCCTTCTGCCTTTGATGCAGCTGGAAGGCCTACGTGTCCCTCCTGCTCCTCTAACTGTAAGCACCTCCTGTCCAGCCCCAGTCCAGCCTCACCCTCTTCTGAATAAATCCCCCCTACAAGCCTCCTAGCCCTCTGCCTCCACTTTGTTCCAATCCATCGCCTCTCCTGTTGCCAAAGTGGTCTACCCAGAATCCAGTTCTGGCCATCCCTCCTTGCCCAGACTCAATGGTCCCCCGTCACCCATAAGATTAAGTCCTGACTCCTGAGTCTAGCAATACAGGACCCTCTGCACCTGTCTTCCTCCCTCCATGCTACCAGCTGCAGTCATATGTCACTGCTGCCACTTGAGCACATTCTTGCCTTTGCCTGCCTCTGGTTTGACTCACATAAGGCCTCATTCCAGAAAGTGCACCCTTCACGCTAATCTCTGCCAAGCCCTGTCAGGAGGAAGGACAGGGAGAGACATGAGGAGGTCCTGGTGGTGAAGCCCGAGATGGCTACCCCGGGGTTGCCAGGCTCGGGATGGTCAGTAAACTATAAGGTGAATATAGGTAGGCACAGAGAAAGGAGTCCACTCACACAAGGGCCAAACATTGGATGCTATGATAGAAATGCAGCATTTCTCGACTGAACAAAAGTCTTAACATAAAGACCCCAAAATCTTGCTAGAGAGATGTCCAATACTACACAGGAAAAGGTCGTTGCTTCAAAACAGGGTTTTGGCAAGAACAAAGCATGAATATGTACTGACTGAATTTCTCTCAAAACCAATGGGAAAAGGAAACAAGTGTTTGTGGATGTGTGAGTTATGTGCTGGACACCTTGATCCTGTTGTCTTATCCAACCTTCCCACAAGCTCCAAGGAAGACATTAATATTTCCATTCTGCTGATGGATGAAGACACAGAGGCTCTAGTAGTTTAAGGATGTCCCAGCTTGTCAGTGGCAGATCTGGCCCCACCAGGTCTGTGGAGAGTTTTCAATTCTTCAGTCTTCATTTCTCTGGGAAAGCCAATGTCACCATGCCTCCGAAGTTCAGATGAAGCTGCAGCACCCAGGAGGCTTGAAGACCATCTTTCAGGTGGAAATACATTCTTGCTCTGAGTTCTTGGTGGGTACTTTGTCTCTGGGATATTTCCTAATTAACATAGCGTGGTCCATTCAGCTTCCTGTTTGCTGTTTCATCTACTCCTAAGGCTCCATCTAAGCTGGAGTTCCAAAATACATTGTCTAAATCCACCCTACACATCTCCAAAAAGTCCAGATTCACACACCTGTTAGTAAAGGCCCTCTGTATTCTGAGTTTGATCTTGGTTCTGTATCCTCTCTCACCTGGGGCTACAAGTGCCACATCAGGCAGGGAAGACCCCAGAGGTGTTATGCTCTGTTATGCTCAACAGCTAAGGGTCTGCATGTGTGTGTGGGTGAGTGAAAGGCAAGTAAACAAATGCCACACAAGTGACCAAGATAATAAGGCTGAAAACCATAGTATGAAAATGGAGGCTTGGGACAAGTCTAGGGAAACCCAGGAAGACTTCTTAGGGAGTGATGCTTGAACAAAGAATTTTTAAAGGTTATGCAAATGTTTGTGACTGGATGGCTAGCTGGATGGGTGTGTATGTGACAGAAGAGATGAACAGATAAATAAAGGAGTAAGTTAATTTATGTTTTCACAGTCCTAGTCATACTGTAGGTTTCTTCGGTCAGAGATGATGCATATACTTTCTGGATCCCTTACGGCACATTTTTAAAATTTAGCATTTAAAATATGTTTTCAGCACTTTTTCAATATTCTTTCATGAGGCAGAAGATATTGCAGAGCTGGGAGGTCTTCCACAGAGATCTGACATCGTTTATGGACGGACTGACAGACACTGAAGCTGTAACAGGCTCCTCGATTTCCCAGTGCAAGGAGAGCTGAGGCTCAAAAGGGAAAAGGACTCTTTTTCTTTAAAGAATTTCCTTTTCACAGTTCTGATCAGTGGTGTGTGATTGAATACACATCAACTCACTCCTGGCACACATTGGAACACTGACTCCAGATGAGGCAAACTGAAGCCCCATGAGCAGGACCACGATGGACCCCTGAAGTGACCATCATGAGCTCCTGCATGCAAATCTTCAGATGCCCCTCATGACAGTCATGGCCCAGCTCCAGGCCCCAAACAAGTGGAGAAGTCAGAGCTTTGGCCCCTCAGTTTGGGAGAGCTACCTCCCCAGGCTGATGGGGGCTTCTGGCTGCCCCCTGAGGCTCCACATTGGTACCGGACCTGGGTCTGATGATCTGGGGCTCTCCATCCTCTCTGAATACATTATCTCTTGTCTTGATACCATCTGGCTCTGCCCACGTGACTCTCCTTTGCACTGGTCCACACTTTGGAATCATTAATCATCCTTCTTGTAGGGAATCTGGTCTTAGGACATGCTTTTATGGAGTCATCTCTTATTAGTTTATTGATTTAGCAAATGCTTATCATGCTCCAGCCTCTACGCCAAGCACTGTATACCCATAGCCATGTGTTGAGCTGACTTCATAAACACCTGTTTTGATAATTAAATTCTTAGGACCCTGGCAGTAAGGTCCGTATCTCAGGCCTCCCTGGATCTGGCCTGTAGCAGGCACTCTGTGGGTGCTGAGGGAAGATGGAATACCTGGAGGCTTGTTCCACATCCCAGACCAGAGGATGGGCCCATACCTCCGAATGCACCCTTGGCGGGTTGCCAGTACCTGAACTTCACATGCCAGGGCCTCCAGCCTGACTCACTGCTAAGCCAGTCACACACTTTGGATATGGAGCCTCAACTTTCCTTTAGCCTCTATTCCCCGGCTCTGCTGCCAAGTCAGTTCCCCAAACCCTGCTCACCCCTGCACAGAGGATGCAACTCAGACTCTTGTTTTCTTAAGCATCAACTCATGCTTCCGTGTGCCCAGACCCCAGTGATTTCCAATGCCCCTTTTGCATCTCATGTGAGCAGGGAACAGGGGACACTCAGACAGGGGAGCCAAGCAGTACACAAACATATAGAAACCTGCTGGTACTCTCCAAAGAACCAAGAAATGCAAACCCTAATGATGGGGGATGGGGGGCTAAGGGTTGTGCTTATTAAGGTTAAAATTATGAAAATTTAATATATAAACAAACAGAAATATGTTTTGAAGCCTGCATTGGGGCATAAGGTGAGTCCCTGCCTCCCTTAATGACAAGAAGGCTTCCAGAGAACAACGTGACGATGTATTTTCAGAGCCACAGACAGGTTCATTTTCTCTGACCAGTAATTTCACTTCTGGGAAAGCAGCCTAAGGAAATCATCATAAATTTGAAAACAAATAAATAAATAAAGCTATAGGTTTAAGAATGTCCACCAAAGCATGATTTTTAATGGTGAAAAATTGGAAACAACCCTAAATGATCAATACCAGGGGAATGGGCACATGAATTATGGTTTATTCGCTCCATGGAACATTGTGTAGTCATTTAAAATAAGTTCTAAAAACTCCACAGCAGCCTAGAGAAAACGCTGCACTCGGGAACAACAAACAGGACACACAGTTGAATATAGGATGTGTGACTATGTAAGAAAACAGCGGACCTATAAGAATAAGTCCTACCAGAAAATGTGCCAAAGAGTTTACCGTAGTTGTATCAGGATGGTGGGATTAATGGGCTATTTTTCACTATTTTCAAATCTGTTGAAATTAAATTAATAATGAAAACCAAATCCTTGTGGAACTAGAGAGACGTGTTCTGTAGACAGTCAGAATAGGGTAGACCTCAACAATGTGTCTGAGTCATGGTTTAGGGAAAGAGGACCCAGCCTTAGTTCTTGGGAGACCTTGCCCCAGATCTTAAAGTACTCAACAAACAGGCCTGGGAAGAGAGAGGACTGAGCATTCAGCACCAGCTGCTGTTTGTGATGGTGGAAGTGGGTGGGATTGACAGTGCTTGGTTCCTATCCAATTGAACGTTGAGCAGTCTACGGCATAAGTACATGTGGCACAGTCTGATCCTCAGATCAGGCTCCAGATGTTACCTGGCAGTACTGTTGTGAAGGGATGCCAGCCCGGTCCTCAGATAGGCCAGTCACCATGGCAATCTATATCTAAGAGTCTGAGCATAGGCCAGCCTACAACTTTTGGTGACTGAGGCTCAAATGCCATTATTCATCACTCACTTTCCTTTTTGTCTGAGAATCAGGGTAACTAAGGAGCAGAGACTTTATATAACTTGCCAAGTCAGATATGGGTCCTTTGAGACAGCAGCTGAGACCCAGGCCAGGGCTCCTTGAAAACCTACCTGGTCTGGAAACCTGAAAATCTGCCCAGGTGGAGAGGATGGTGATGCCTGTGGATACTGAGACCCACAGCCTTCCTGGCACAGCTTACATTTAGGGTGAGAAATTAACACATTATCTGTACCAGCCCTTGCTACCACACACACACCCATACACCCACACAAGCACACACAGAGAAGACAGTCCCAGGCACACTGTTCCACTTTCTTATGGAAAGCTATATTAATCAACATAAATTGTAAATACCTTTTCTCCTCGCGTTCCCTTTTCTCCTCGTTCTCCTTGGAGACCCTGAAGGGGAAAGAAAGAGCAGTGACTCCACACCCCAGTCTGGCTTTTCTGTGCTTACCTTGGGAGGGACCGTGGAGAAATTGCCTGGTACCCTCCAGTCCAGGGAAGAGGCGCTGGTGGTAGTGAGGACCCTGTTCCCCCACATAGTCTAACACCACAGTGGCCACGTTCCTCCCCTAAGCCTGGAAGGCTGAGCCAAGCCACACATAGGGTGAAAAGGGAGCTGGTGGGGCTTGTCCCTCGGCTTGGGTTATCCAGTTTCTCACAGCTACAGTCTGGGGCATAGCCTGGCTCACAGCTCACCTGGCCAAGGGCAGAAAGGTGGCTTTGGAGTCAGTTCCTACTGCCACTCTGAGCCCGTGATTCCCTCATGACCATAGACCCCATGAAGGGGCCCAGCAATGAACCGGAGATGCTGGCTCCTTTAAGTCACATCCCTTGGAAAGAGGGCCACTGTCCCATCCCAGCACCTACCCATCTTCCTCCAGAGCAACACCCAGACCTCATGCTATAAACACCCTGTCTCTCTGTGTGCAGGCTTGGTGGGCACAATAGCCAAGATGTGGGCTTCTCTACATGCAAGATCTGAAATAGCATCCCTCCACCTCCCACCCCCATTGTCCACGGTCGCTCTATCCTCTTACTTTTCTGACACATTTCCTGCCTGCCCCATGATAGAATGTAAGCCCTACCAGGGCAGTTTCTTCAGTATGGTATCCCCAGAGTCTAGGACAGTGTCTGACCCTTGGTAAACATTTGTTGAATGAATAAATGGCCCAGTCAGTGACTGTGTCAATCACCTGTTTAGCACAGCACTCCGGTAGAGGTTTTGCCTGAAGGCTGTTGCCCTGCACTGAGCTGCAGAAGATCAAAACAGCACATGTCCCTGTTCCTCCCAGATGTAAAGATTGCACAGTGAGATGCTGGGGCCAACAGCATGAGCCAAAGAAAGCACAACTCCTCCCTGGATGGCAGCCTGCAGGTCAGGCCAACAGCTCAGAGCAGAGCCCTGCTGGAAAGGCAGGAATATGTCCCACGTAACTGTGTGAACTCTCTGCATGATCCCCTCTCTATCCTTTCCTTTCTTGGAGAAGAGACCCTGGGATATTCTATGGAAGGGATATTAAAAATGGCAGGTCTACTGCCCAGACCTACTTGATGATTCCAGGAATACTACATGTGACTTTGACCTAGAGAGGAGCACAAGGCCAAGCCACAAGATGGTGATGCCAGAGGTCTGTAGGGTGAGTGGAAATCCCTGCTGTTTTAATCTCATCTAAATATTTATTAGGTGGATGCATAAGTTCGTAGCATTTGTTTTTGGCATGGCAACACAGCAGGGTTTGGAGTTTTTTTATTGTTTGTCATTTGGAGTGACAATGTTGTGCTCGTGACTATGCCTTGCATTTTACAGACTTGAAGAAAGTGTTATTTGGGGGCTAAAGAAGATGGAGTGTCAAGTGGGAAAAAAAAAACACACTTCTGGCATATTCCTCTGTTTGAGCTTAACAAAGGAGTACAGGCAGTGGAGGCAGCTCAAAACATTTGTGCCATGTACAGGGAGAATGCCATCAGGGAAATCACAGCAAGAAAATGGTTTTGTCACATCAGAGAGAATCATTTTGACCTGAGTGATTCTCCACATTCAGGAAGACCACCGGGCTTTGATGAAAACCGTTTAAATGCTTTAATCCATGATAATCCATATCAGTCAACCTGAGAATTGGCAAATGTGATGAATTGTGACCAGTTAACCATTGTGTGACATTTGCATTCCATGAGCTAGTGAAAAAAATGCTAAGAACTTATGAATAGACTCAGTATTTTGGTCATGCACACAGAGATCAGAGGTCTTGAATGCCCCACAGTCACACAAGATACTGTGTTTGGAAATGACTTTTTTAAAAAAGGAAAGACAAAATAAAAAAATAAAAATGAAATGGCTTTTTACACTGCTTCTTTCATTTGGAGATAATCTCAAGAAAAGTGTTAGATGTTCAAGAAGACCCTTTGCTCCCTATATACTGATATCTGTTTGTTTGTTCATCCCTTTATTCATTGGATATGCTGAATGTTTATCAAGTGTCTGGCTCTGATCTAGGAGCTAAGCATTCAATGGGTTCCACCCTCCTTCCTAGAGTAGAGACCTGGACAGGTTGGTAGATAGCTTCTTTGGACCAAATGTCAGAAACTCCTGGCCTGCTGGTTAGAAATGCAGATTCCTGGGACCCACCCTGCTCCATTGTCTAGGAAATGGGTCCCAGGAATGTGCACTTAAACTCTTCTCCAGGTGATTTTCAGGTACCATCACACCTAAGAACTTCTGGTCTAAGAGAAGAGAGACCAACGATTCATTGGCATCTATAAATGTAGAACAGTGGGGGCCCATTATCTAGATGCAAGTGGAGAGATGTACTGGAGGACTTGCTTCCTGCTTCCTGGAGAAGAAGCAGAACCCCTGCCTATATGAGCACTTTCACTTACAGGAACTCCGACATGCCCAGGAGGTCCAGGAAGTCCAGGCGGTCCTTGGGGGCCCTGCAGAGGCACATTCACACACACAAAAAAAGTTTGGGGACGGAAGGAAAAGCAAGAGTGCAAGCGCAGCTCAGCCAATAGTGTGTTTGGTCACAAGATCGGCTGTTTTTCATACCACCAAGTGCTGCCCCCAACTGCTCACACCAGGTATGGCTGGTAGACCTCCCCTCAAGCTCTGCTCCTCTCTGTGTTTAGAGCTCCTGCTGCCTGGTGGAGTCCTATTCTCACAGGGACACTCTCAACTTCAAGGAACAGCTAATGCTATATGCCTCTGAGCCATCATGAGGCCAGCTGCAACAATCCCCATTACTTCCACTCGCTCGTGTCCCTTGGCCTTCCCTGGGTCTGGCCTGGATATGTTCACATAGCTTCCGAAACATTACGACTGATTCCCGAGGCTCATCATTTACGCTTTGTCATGGGGTCAGTACTGCCTGGGGAAGTCCTGACAAATATCCCAACAGAAGTTTGCAGAGCCTGAAGTCTCCTGTGCTACCCAGACCATGAAGTGCTACAGCCTTTGAACAACTAATCTGGAAATACCTGTTAAAATCTACCAAAACTGGGCAACCCTCTGGGACCCCTCCTACTGCCAGAAACTTTCCTGTCTTCTCAATAAGTTCCTACTTTCTAAAAAAAATTACTAAAATTAAAATGTGCATTTCTTCAGTCGAGTATCCCAATTTTTGTAATCTATCCTGCTACAATAAAAGTATAGTTAATAGTTAAGGAGGGGCAAACCCCTTGGGTCCCCTCCCACTCTGGGAGCTTTTCTGTCCTCTCAATAAATTCTGCTTTCAAAAAAGAAAAAAAGAAAAAAAATACATATATGTGTGTGTGTGTGTGTGTGCACGCGCGTGTGTGTGTACACACACGCACACACACACACACACACACACATATATAGTTAAGGAGAAACACACACATACATGTACACATGTATGCATTTAGTACTTCATTGTTTTAGTGGAAACCAAATGACACTAGAAACAACCCTCAGGGCCATAAATAGGGGAGAAATTATGTAAATTACAAGGTCATGGAATACTATGCATTGGTAAGACAATGGGCGGGGTCTATCTGTATTGATGTGGAAAGATGTCTCTAATCTGTTGTTAAATGACAAAAATAAATGGCCAAGTATAGCATGATCCATTTTTCTGTAAGAATATAGGAAAAAACATATGTGTAGATACACATACACACAAGGGCACGCGTACGGAGCTGCTTATCAGCTAAGTGAGAAAATCACTTCCAAGAACACGCATGCAGTTGTATGAGGGAGAGGCAGGAAACCCACTTGAGTGTCTCTCCTACACCTAGAGCAATGAACTTTGTATCAGCCCTTGCCCCCCAGGATCCTCAGAAGAGCACAACTCACAGCAACACTTACCCGCATGCCCACCTCACCAGGCAGCCCCGGCTCTCCCAGCTCTCCTGGCTCCCCCTAAGCACACAAAACAGCACATGGTCATGGCCCGGCCACAAAAGCCAGGCACACAAGAGCAGCTCACAGTCTCCTGGGGCCTTTGCTCCCTGCAGCTCAGAACACAACACAGAAGCAAGGTATGCACTAGTGATCAGGGTCTAGGCTCCCCTCAGATGCTCTTTCTAAGAGCAAAGGAGCTGACCTTCACTGTACACAGTTTTTTTGTTTTGCTTTGTTTTTTGTTTTTTCCTTTTTGAGAAAGATTCTCACTCTGTCACCCAGGCTGAAGTGCAGTGGTGCAATCATAACTCACTGCAGCTTCAAAGTCCTGCTGAGCCCAAAGCAATCTTCCCACCTCAGTATCCTAAGTAGCCAGGACCATACCACCACACCTGGCTAATTTTTAACAATTTTTTTGTAGAGACAAGGTCTTGGTATGTTGCCCAGGCTGGTCTCTAACTCTTGGCCTCAAGTGGTCCTCCAACCTCAGCCTCCCAAAGTGCTGGGATTACAGGTGTGAGCCACTATGCCTGGCCACACAAATTATCTCAACCCTCCCTCACTTCTGACACTGGAAGTCAACAAAATTCCATTTGGACAGAGCGGGGAAAAATCATAGCAACTTGAGTCACCATGATGGCCGTCCTCATGGAGAAGGATTTTGGATTTTGACCACCTGGAAGGGGAGTGAGAAGGGAGTCTGGGGATTCATGGAACTCCCTCCTTTTTTTTGGTCTCCAGGATCTCAGACTTCCTATCCTGACTGCAATTGACTTACAGTGTGCTCAGAAGTAAGGTTCCCACTCTGAGACCTGATCACACATGGTTGAACATGATGAAGGGAACAGAAAGGTGGAGAACCCAAAACTAATTTCCAAAACCAATTTGGGTTCTTAGTGGAGAGAAGACTGACCCACTCAAGTTGAGAACACTTCTTGCTTGGTTTGCTAAAGCATGTTTCAGTTCAGAGGCCAGCAGTTTGGAGAGGTGGCATCTGGGGAACTACAAGAGGAAGGCGGGTAGGCCATGCAGGGGATGGGGTACTACCTGCATCTCACCCCGACTCCTCTAGCAACAAACTAGACACTTTGGCAAATCCTCCACCTCACTGGGCCAGCTCCAATCCAGGCATTGAGGATAATGAGATCACCTGTGCAGAGCTGCTTGTCAACTAATTGAGAAAATCACTTCCAAGGACAGACAGGTGATGCAGGGGAAAACAGCTGCTGCTGGTCTTATTAGAGCTATTAGGTAGAACTCCAGGGATCTGGAAAGATCCTGGTATAAATGATCCCCAGCTCAGGCATGGTCCTGGTGATGCCACCCCACTCAAGGACATGGGAGCTCTGGCAATGCCACCCCAGTTGAGGACATGCAGCTCGTAGCCAACCCAATGCTGCGTTATGAGCCAGGCAGTAGGAACAGAACTTACCCTCATGCCTTTGCTGCCATCTCTCCCAGGTGGACCGGGCACACCCAGGGCACCCTAGAGGCAGAGAAAGAAAACAGCAGTTAGCAACAGACAACACTGGGACAGGCTCTCAGAATGCTGGTGCAATGGAAACAGCACCAGGCAGAAGATTGTGGCCTAGGTTTTGCTTCTCAAAAGGTGACCCACCAGCCTGCAGCCTGGGCATCACTTGGGAAAACATAAGAAATGCAGATTCCCAGGCTTCACTCCAGACCTACCATGTCAAGGAATTTAGGAAGATCCCCAGGTGAGCTATATGCACCTGGCCTTGTGAGTGAGAAACTCCGGTCGCAACCCTCTGCTAACTGGAAGTATGGCCCTTCTTCCCTCTGGGCTCGGTGTCACATGTCTAAAGTGAGGGGTTAGGGAGAGAAGGGTTCTCAACCCAGCACTGATGACACCAAGCTGGATAAGTCTTTGCTGAGGGGGCGCGATGTGCACTGCAGAATGCTCAGCAGTGGCCATGGGTACCAGTGGCACCCTCTGGTAGTAACAACCAAAAATGTCTCCAGATATTGTCCAATGTTTTCTGTGAGGCAAAATCACTCCTGGTTGGGAGCCACTGGGCTGGAACAGGTATTTAAATTGTTTTAATTTTAGCTGGAACAAACTTCATTCTAATGAATCACAGGCAGATGCATGTGACACACAAACATGGAGCAGCTGTGGATAGAAAGGCACTTGGACCAGGCTCCTCACCCCTCCTTTTTTCTACACACTTCCCTGGAGAGAGCCTGGGGAGGCAATTTAGAAACAGGGAACCCCAGGATCTGTGAGCTTCCACCCAGCTCTGACACTGACACTGCTTGATTCAAATAGAAGGATTCAGCCTGAGAGTGCCTTCCCAGGCTCCCCATCCCCACTAGTGTCCCTGTGACATTGAACAAGGTGTGCCTCTCTCTGGTATGGCCCTCTCTCTGGGCCATACCTCCAGTTAGCAGAGGGTTGTGACTGGAACTTCTTACTCACATGGCCAGGTGCATACTGCTCACCTGGGGATCTTGCTTAAATGATATGCTGACTGTCCAGGAATGAATGGATTCATCCCTATGTAAAGTTTACAAAACACTAAATGCAGAGTAAATTCCTACATACATCATCTTATTTAGTCCTGATTGTAACCTTACAAGATAGTTATTATTTCTAAAGACACAGTAGCTATTATGTATTTCTAATTTTTATCTACAAATGAAGATACATACACACACACATATACTCGTACAATTTCTATGAACTGCCTTCTTGGCCTCGACATTGTATGTCAGTGTGGTGTTAAAGAGAAAGACACGACACACAGACATCTCTAGTCCTGGTATCAGACGGATGAGTCTTTTCCAGCCCTACACCCTCCTGGCTATGTGACATTAAATACACCCTGGAAGGCTTAGGATCTTCAAAGTGTGAAGGGTCGGGGGTGATATCAGCAGTAGGCTGACTGCGAGGTGAGTCCAGGTTTGGGAAGTGAAGGTGTCCACCTCTGCTGTGGGGATAGCATTGGGCTTCTTGGTGCAGCCTGTCCTCCTGGGCTACCTGGGCTGACAATGATAGAGGAATCCAATGGAGGTACACACCAGCACATTGTGACCTGGGAAAGGAGGCCTTCACCAACTACCCTGTGCACAATAAGCCTCCTAGGATGGCCACACAGATTCGCTCTGCCATCTTCACCTAATAATTTAATGGTGGAGAGAAAGGCACTGTATACACACAAAAAACTGATTTGCTTAAGTGGTTTGTGGTGCCAGGTTTGGGACCCTGAGGGTCTAGTCCTGGGGACTGAAAAGGTCACCTCATGTGGGTGGGGCCTTGCAGAGGGGCATCTCTTGGAAAGACAGTCTGGCAAGTGAGCATTCATAGGCTGGCCAGGCTGAAGACGAACCCCAGTGACTTTTGTTTTTTGGGGGGCTTCTTTGGGCAAATCCCTCACTCTCCAAGTGTTGGTTTCTTTTTCTGTAAAATGGGAATAATCACAGACACCATGAGAGTGAAAGTATTAAAGTTCTCCAAGGAGCTTCATGGAATATTTCCAAAGTTCGCTCAAGATGCTACCAATTTGCTTTGTAGTTAATATGTGTTATGGTGGTAGGAAGGTTGGGGGTTCTTTGATCAAATGATTTTGTGCAATGCAGAGTTAAATTAAGTAAAACAAGTTCCTTTAAAGCAGGTTTTCTTGAAGTTTTACATATGCCTTCATTGATGGTGGTTTTCCATGGTGTCCTGCTTTTCATGAGGCATGTGAAGGAACTGCCATGGCTCACAAGCAGGGTGGGGGGCCATTGCTTTTCAGAGCCTCACCAAGGGCAAAACTGGGTCCAAGACAAAAATGAACAAGGACCTTTTATTCTTAAACTTGTAGAGGGGACCACATAGTTAAGACAACCAAGTCAGCACTGCAAATAGACACATTTTGAGAAATGTTCACTCCACACAAATCCTGAGATTCAGGCATTTCATTAGAAGGATTCCTGCCCTAAGAAAGTTTTGCCCCAAGAAAAGGTCAACTGACCCAGACATTTCACGATAAGATTAGTGTCACCTAATCATGTTGAGATAAGTGTCTCCTAATCTTAACATTTCAAAATACCACCATGATAGACCCTGACAGACCTTCCAAAATTCTCCAGTTGGACTCACTATCAGCTGCCTGTAGTGGCTTTGAAAAGATTAAGTTATATCCCTGGGGTGCCCTACTCTTATCCCACCAGGAAAGGCGCTTAACCTCTCTAAGCCTATGTCTCATCATTTGTAAAGTAGAGGCTAACAATGCTTTCAAATGATTAATAAATGTGAGCATAATTGTAGACTATACAATGTTATTAAAATGCAAGTCCTTCTATTGTATTTACTGATGACTAAGAAAGTTCCTCCAAGTGCATGAGATGGGTCAGTAAAAGGAGCGAGAGAGTGACTGGAAGTTGCCCCTAAATTGGTAAGGTCAGGCATAGAAAAATTTTTAAAGGGAATACATGTGTAACGAAGGATCCACAATAAAATATAAAAGAAAAACAAAAACAAGGCATGGAAGGGAGGGAAGTGGGGGGAGGGAGGGAGGGAAGAAGGAAGGAGGGAAGGAGAAAGAAAGAGAGAGAGAAAAAGAAAGAAGAGAGAGAGGGAAAAACCTAGGTTGGAGGGGGAAGGTCTGATTCACAGGTAACCTCTGCCACACCTAAGCTGAACAGGACTTCCCCTCCTGTGCCTCAATTTCCCCACCTGTAAGGAAGCTGATGCACAGAGAAGTACGTCTGGTCCAAGGTGGTTCATAAGACACACCAAAACACTTGGGAAATGCTTTATAAACAGGGAGATTTGAAACAAGCATCAGATACTAATATTTTGGGTGGACTACACAAGTCTCACTTTCTACCTATAAAAAGAAAATCAACACTCACGTCGTAAGAGGATGACTAAAGGTAATACATGTGAGATGAGATCAACTGCAGAAGACAGCTAAAGCTCAGAGAAATGGGCCCATCCTCATGTTGTGGGCTTCATTCCAAGTCCATGCTCTGACCTCTCTCCTACCCTGCCTCCACTCCCCACCTATGCTCACTCACTGCCTCCATGATCCTATTTGGAGGTTTGTGGGAGGCAACCATCTAGCAGAAAATTATCCATCCACCCAAATCCGCTTGTCAGTGTCCAGAGTCCCATGGATCATCCTGTTACCTCATCAGGCAAGACACAGAGAGAACAAACATCTCTACTGCTCTTTTGGTTACTTAAACATCGGGACTGATGTTTAGATGTTGACAAAGAGATGACTTCATTGCTGGAAGAGCAATGTTACTAATATTCTTCATCCACTTAGTAGGAAACAGAGTTAAGCCCTTTAGGTGGGGTCTTAGGAATATTCTGGAAAGCGGTCCTCAAAATATGGTTCCTGGACCACCACGGCATCAACCTCACCTGAGGTCTTGTTACAAATGCAAATTATCTGGCCCTACCTTGGACTTACTGACTTAGACACTTTGAGGGGCGGGGTCTAGCAAGTTGGCTTGGCAAATCTTCCAGGTGAGCTGGATGCTGGCTCAAGTTTGAGAACCACTTGTCATCACAGACAAATGCAGACCATGATCAGAAAACATGAGCTCAAATCCTGGGTCAGCCATATAGAGAGGAAAAGTCACCTGTGCCTGGTTGCACAGTTAATAGTTCATACAACAAGGACAGTAATATTCACCACAAAAGTTAAACTAACACATGTGCATAAATCCTAGCAAGTGCTTATAAATATGATGCTATTCATATTCTTAGATATGCTGTGAATTATTATTTTTTTAGAAAATATAGTTTATTTAGAAAGTAAATTAGAGACAGGAAGAAAGAGGAGATTCATCTCCCCAAGGTAGGGGAGGGGACCAAAGCCAGGACGCATGACGAAGTCATAGCTCAAAGAGCACATGGCCACACCAGAGTCTAGCAGGGCAATGGCCGCAATGACCTAGCAATGGCCAAATTATTTTAGATTAACTGAAGAGAGGTAAGGCCATCTCTGTTACCCCCTCTCCAAAATGTGTTCTCTAATAACACTTTCTAGGCTTCCAAAGGCCTTGGGAGTCACAAGCCTCTGGGGAAGTGGAAAAGCTCTGACACTTTGCAGCTGTGGGCACCTCTGGGGATAAGACCTCATTAATGCTTAGAATGCAGAAGACATCATTTGGCGTATAAGAAAATAGTACACTATGCTGGTGCAATAGTAATGATACTTAACATTTATGAGCACTTGTTATAAATATAAGTCATTTATTTTCATTAGGTCATTTAATCCTTGCAGCCACCCTCTGAGGTGAACACTACTATAATTGCTAATTTAGCCGTGCTCGGTGGCTCAGCCTGTAATCCCGTGCTTTGGGAAGCTGAGGTGAGTGGATTGCCTGGGCCTGCGGGTTCGAGACCCACCTGGGCAACTTGGCGAGACCTAATCTCTACAATAAAATCAAAAAATCAGCTGGGCATGGTAGCGTGTGCCTGTAATTCTAGCTACTTGGAAGACTGAGGCGGAAGGATCGCTGGAG